GCCCCCTCTCGACGCGATTGCTAGCTGCTCCCGTTGGCCTCTTCCTCCCCCCTTTTTCTTGCGCTCTTTGAGCCCCTCGCGGCTCCCCCGGCTACACAAACTCGTCGGGGTGAGAGATATGCAGCGGGAGGTAAGCGGCGCCAAGAAGCAGAGCCGAGCAGCCGGATGGAGGAGAATCCAATTTGTTCCCCCCGCGAGCGTTGCCGCGCTGCGCCGGGCCGGCCCGGGCCACACAGATTCGAGTAGTTTTGAAACCGCGCGCGAGGCGGTTGGGCTTCGAGCCGGCCCGACCTCTTCGCACTCTCGGCAAGGTTTACTTTGTGGTCCCGAGAGACCACGCCCCACCCCACTACTGGTCCAAGTAATTCGTTTGCAGCGACGGGGAATCGCAGCGTCGCCAATCCGTCGAAACACTCCTCTCCCCCTTCTTCCTCGCCCCAATGAAAACGGTCCCGCGAAAAGAGAAAAGGAAGCTGAATGCAAGCCGTCCGCTTTTCTGCTCTGCAGGCGTCGGTGCGGGCGGTGCTGGGACCCGAGCCCGAGGCCCCGAGCGCCCTGGACCCGTACGCTGAGCGACAGGTGAGTGAGCCGCCTTTCTCCGTTTTATGTGTTTTTATTTTCCCTTTCTGTTTCCCTCTCTCCTTTTTTTATTTTCTTCGCGCCCGCTGGCGCCCTACTATGCGCCGCGTCGTTGTGTCGCTTCAACCTAAACACAGCGGTGTGCAGCGGGCGTGGCTTGAAGCAGTGGAGTGGAGAGGGGGGCTGAAATCAAAGAGATAATTCTGTTTGCCTGCTTTTGCTTCGCGCGTGAATGCGTGTGCTGCGATTATGAAATGCCCGGAAATTAACGCCGCGCTGGACTTGCGTTCTCTGATGCTGCCATTGATGATGATGACGATGTTGATGCTGCTGGTGCTTTGCAATCGTCACGATCTACGGCTATAGGTATGATAAACGAGATTCAGACGTCTCTCGATTATTGCGTCCGTGGTTCTGCAGAATAAGCTAAAGCTTGCGCGTTTCGTCCGATCAAAATAGTAATCAAAAAATAATCTTCGGTCCATTGGCATATTGTACTAGAACGGAATTTTGGCCTGGCTTTCTACTTTGACTAGCGAAAGAAGTCTTTTTGGCAAGATCAGTGACCCGAAAAATATCGGTCTCGTGAGAGCGAGATTATTTTCCTTACTCTGTTTGAGTCAGAATTTACACACTAAATCCTTATGCATAGTGTTGTGCACCGGAGCGTTGCCTGCAATCTAGAACACCAGTCCAGGACTGGAACGCTGGGAAGGGGGAGCAGCGGGGAGACGCTTCTGTCGTGTCAAATGTCGACGACACCTCTCGTATTTCCCATGCCAGTTATTTCTGTGCCCGTGTGCTCGACTCTACAAGCACACCATGCTCTCGTCGAGTCGACCAGGCGCGGCACGGTGACACTGAAACCTATTACGATACTGTACTGAAATTATGTGCGATGACTGATGAGTTGCGATTCCCATCATCACTGTAAAAATATCGTCGTAATTTTACAAAAAAATGTAAACTCGAATTATAATTTATGGTGTTAATTTACGATAGCACATTTTTTACTCGGCAATAATTGATTTTAAGTCAAATCGTACTGCATGTATTGTTTAACGATTACAAATTATAATTTTACAACCTGCGACTATTTTCTCAATACTTTCGTACCACAAATTCTTTTAATGAAAATCTTTTTGCGAAAATGACCGCAAAACCGGCCTTAGTGTAAGTCGACCCCCCCCATTTTCGTAGCTATCTCGCAGCCCTGCTCCTGCTCCCGTACCCCCACTGACCCCCCTACACCTCCCCTCTACTCTACAACCCCCACCACGGACTCATTCTGCGATTGTCCTTGCGAGGTACAATGCGGGGCTCCGTCCTGTGTGTATTGACACGACCCGGCGGTGGGGCGCAGCGGTGGGGCGCAGCGCGCGCGGGGCCCGTCTGCTCACCCTTTGTCAGCTCATTTGTTGCTGACGCGGGCCGCCGCCACCGCTGGCTGAGCTCTGCTGAGAGGAGTTTGCCTTGCGACTGTAATGATGGCAATGCAAGGCGAGTGGACGGTGGGGTGCTGTAGACAGGCAGGGGGCACGCTATGCGCCCCGCTGGGGGGACCTTTTTCTTTTCTCCGCCCTCCTCCACCCCTGCTCTCCTCCTGCTCCTCCCCCCACCCCCTTTTCTTTCCCGCCTCCCTCGCGTTTCACAGTGCTTCCTTTACTTCACGCTTCCATCTCTTGAAGACGAAGAAAAGGACGACGACGACCAATTGAGCACAGTATTAAACCCTTAACAAAGCTTAGTCGCTGAAAAATGATAGTATTTTTCTAATACAAAACCAGCCCGTGCAGCCGTAATACAAACAAATAGAGCTCTTTGCATCACAATACTCGACTTTTGCAACAAAGGACCTTCCTTTGTTTTACAAAATAATGTCACCCTTTGCATACTACTAAAATATTTCAAACTGTCTCGTACATACTTTTGTCAATGTGTCACGCATTACGAAAGAAAATCAGTTTAGCAATCGTACTAAAGTTGGACCTATAGTTATACAAGGAAAATCGAATTATATTTCGGTTGTAAAGCCAGATCTTTATTTGTAACTTGCAAGGACGAACTCAGTGTTGGGGTTTTGGAGTGCGGGTTACGGGGAAGGGGCTTGATCGGTCTCCGGTGCGGCGAGCATGAGCAGGCGGCGGGTGTAATCCACCAGGCTCCGACCCGACTTTGGAATACCGAGCGAGTTATCATCGATCGGCTTAGGGACGCAGCAGAGCCCCCCTCCTGGCTCCTTGCACCGGCCGCCTGCTACAAGTAGACTCGTCCCCACCTCCCTCGTCCTCCTGGCGCCGCACCTACCTGTAATCCTGAAGGATCCAGTCGGGGCGCGATCCGCGCTACTGGAGCTGCCTCGAGAGACCTTGAGAAACAGCAATAGATGGGGGTCCCGGCCACAGTAGTGGGCGGTCTGGCGGACCGTGCCGAGAAACGAGCGGGGAGCGCCCGCGGGTCTGCGGGTACGCCACCCGCTCCGCACGGCTGTCGCGCTGCTGCCTACGCCATCACCTGCAGGCGCCCGGGCAGGCGCGTGCCTGACCGAAACCGACCCCGAGACGAAGACTTTTCCTTATTTACCCTTCCCTTCTCCGTGTTGCTCCCTTTTGCTTGTACTACGCGCCACGTCCGTCGCGCCCGGAGGAGGCCGCACACCGCCGCAGTCTCGCTCTCGTTCCAAAGCGTAGGAGCGGGGAGGTTGAGGAAGGGTCGCTTGACTCTGATTTCATGTTGGGGGAGTGGATTGACGAGCGGAACCACATGTGTGATCACTTAACCCCCCCCCCCTCTCCCCTGCCCGAGGCCTATCCGTTCTCACCCCCACCACCGCAGGAGCGCTCTCCCCATCCCTGTAAATCTTCCCCTCGCCCTGCCCCTCCATCCAACCCGCGCAGGGCCCAGGCATTGTCAGTGGAGTCATTATTTGAAGCATGGTGGCTGCGGTGCTCTGGTAAAGCAAATGGGGTCGGGAAAAGGGGTTGGGGGGAGGGTGAGGCAGCAAGCAGCAGAGCTCATGGAGTCATCTAGAGTACGTGAGAATTGCAGACTGGCACAACTGGAGGGCACGACGCGCTCGTCGCGCGGGGCCCGTATCTCGTTAGCGGCTGTGCCTGCACCATCACCGCCCCAACTTTCCTACTTAGATCCTCGCCCACAACATCACTCGCTCGTTTGGCGCCGGGGCCGCCAAGGGGGGCGCCGCGGGACGCGCTGGTCTTCTCTTCTGCGCCATAGCCAGCGATTTGTGATTCTCTAATACGCGAGAGTCGTGCGCGGTAAAGGAACTTTCCTTGTTCCCCTCCCTCCCTCCCCTCCCTCCTCCCCCTAAACCGTTACACCGCCTGCAAATCGCGCGCGGCGCGTTGGCACCGGGACTCGTTAACGGCCCCGTTCGCCCGCAGTCGGCTCTCCGTGAATGGGAGTGGTAAGCACTTTTTAAGCCCCACCGCCCGCTGACTCGCAACACCTTGATTTCCCTCCCCGCATCCTTCTTCTCGCCATGCACGCCTTTTGCTTGTTATTCCCTCTCATTGCGTTTCCCTTCCTCGTGTTGGAGCGTCCCACAATGTTCGAATCGACTCCGAGAGCTTGTACTTTGATGGGACATTTAGTACAGTCATTGACCCTAAATACGGACGATTTTTAGACAAAAAGGCCTGTAAAATCTGTAGTTTTGACAAAATTGAAAATCGGTGGGGATTATAAAATCTTTGGACCGAGACACACCTACCAACGCCTTGAACGGTTTTTTATCACCTAATGTGTACCAGTGAGCCACGCTAGAAGAGTGTCCGTCTTTAGGAGCCTAAGCGCCCTAAATACGGACAGCCTTTAAAAATTATGAAAAGTGAAAAATTGTTGGGGGGAGTAGAAACTTCATGAAAAAATTTGACCTTACCCTGCCGGTGAAATTTTCTTATCTGGTA